AAATGATCCTGAAACTCGGTTGGGGTTGAGTATCCCCGGGACGGTAAATGATCCTTAAACTCGGTTGGGGTTGAGTATCCCCGTGATGCTAAATGCTCCCAAAACTCGGTAGGATATTATGAATGTAGAATGTAGCTTGTGAGCTAGGCATTCGGGTAAGGAGTGAGAAAAGTCAGGTAAGAACTTTATCTTTGAAAGACTCTTTAAATGAAGTGACCTACGGGTTGAGTATTTTACAAATATATATACAATATGTATCATCGGGTGGATGAGTCTCTCTCTCTCTCTCTCTCTCTCACACACACACACACACACACACATATATATATATATATATATGTATGTATGTATGTATGTATGTATGTATGTATGTATGTATGTATGTATGTATGTATGTATGTATGTATGTATGTATGTATGTATGTATCACCCTACTTTTGGGTCTCGTGTCTGAAACATTAGTTATTCTTCATATAGTTTGCTTGTCACTAGTATTTCTATGGAGTACTGACCCCTTCGGGGGCCCTCACATTTTTCAGGTTAAGGCTAGAGTCCTACTATCTGCACCTTTGCCTAGGGTGATTGATCAAGAAGGAAGACGTGGTTTGTGCTTCCATTCTTATTTCAAATTTATAAACTGCTCATGGATTTTTGAACAATGTTTTCTTTAAAACAGTTGGGGGCCTGCGTGCCCGTGTTTGCCACGTGTGGCTAAGTATCAAACATATTATTCTTTCCACATTTGTTTGATTATGATATTGATGTTGATTGTATGTGTTTACTAATCGGTTTGGAAATAGAATCTATCGGACGCCTTGTATGATTCAATAAGGATTAACTAATGTTGTTCTTATTGGATCGTACGGCGGTTGTCTACGTGGCTCGGATGCGGTCCAGGGCGTGACACGCTAGGCGCTAGTCGGGCGGTGATTGGCCGCCTAGCCCGCCTAGGCGGATGCCTAGGCGCCGACTAGGGCGCCTAGGTACTCTCCCTTGATTTCTTTGTGTTATTTTTATATCCATTGAATTTTAAATATAGTATCAATAATTTTATAATATATTGACAATATGAATAGCTCATATAATCATTAGATATTGTGTTTTTTGTACAAAAATTATCAATGATAAAATAATTTATATATAAATGAAGAGATTTGTATTTTTTAGTCTCTAAAAATGGTTATATACATTCTAAAAAATTATATATATTTGAAAATTATTTTTTATTCTAGTTATATGAAACTAAAGTATATAGGAATAAAATACTTGTTGATCAAAAGTTATTTTAAGACAAAACGAAAAAAATAAGTTGATCGAGAAAAATTTAATCCGGCCGCCTAGCCACCGCCTAGACCGCCTAGGCGCCCGCCTAGCCGACTAGTCGTTCATCTAGCCCGCCTATGCGCCCGACTGACTTTTTCCATCGATTACACCGAAATCAGGGCGCTCGACCACCGTGTAGCGATTAGGCGGCGCCTAGGCGGCGCCTAGGCGGGCGCCTAGGCCGAGTTATAGAACCATGATATATATACACTCTCATGTATGTTTAGGGCCTAGACCAGTCATGTGCTAGACCTATCCCACCAAGGTTATAGCCCAACATCAAAAGTAAGAAGAGCTTGCTCCACCTTGATGTTTGGTAGGCCAATACCATCTATCATAAGGTTAACTAGACTGCCATTCAAACAAGACAACCAAATAGATAGAATTGAAATTAAGTCTCACTGCTACTCTTTATAAGAACCAATTACTCTATGGGTATATTTTACTCCCTTTGTCACAAAGGAAGAAACCATTTCAGTTTATGATACTTAACTTTTAGCTCACAATATTTAAATGAGTGAGAATACTTAAAAATACATATTCAAAAATTACACTTAATATAGGGAACCGACACTTCATGTTGGAATTGTAATAGTATTCAAAGTAGCTTAGTACAAAAAAATGGTACTCGGCGTAAATGGTTTGACATGGTCCGAGTGTTGCTCACAAAAATGAATTATCTGGTTTTAAAGCTTGAAACTTAACCAAGATTAGAGTGTTGAAACTAGAACTAGTGTAAAGTTGGTGTGGTTCAAGTTAAATTAGTGAACCAAAATCGAATAACTTTGATCTTAGTTCTATTTTCTTTTTCAAAAACCCAATAATCCTATATAGAACCATCCAAAATAGGATTGAGAACATGATATGCGGGCGTACAAGACTCCATACTAGTGATAACCTAAATTTCCTTAGCCCAAAGGTTCAACACAGTCCAAGGGTCCAACACAGTTTCTTTAGTGGATGACTGATTTAACATATAAAAGATGAGCGGATAGTAGGAATATGGAAAGACACGTAATACACTCAAGAACAAATCCATACCCTTACATTTTGCTCTAATCTGATCTACTTAGGTAATTATGGATACAAAGAGTAAATGGTAATAAATGCGGAATTAACAACTCCTATCCTGATTTAAGAAGTGGTATTTATTGTGGATGATGGTAGTTGAGTTAATTGTCGCGCCACCCTCTCATTAATCTAGTCCTTCTCAATTTCCTGCCAAAAGTGGTGTTGCATTTCGTCCTCTTTTCCAGTTGTATGCCGGCAAGTGTTGAGATGGCCCACCCCGGTTGGGAAACCGGCCGACCAAACATGCCAATCACCAGCATGTTGTATATCCTTGCCCGGTATTAGGTTCCACTCGGTATATATATATCCGCACGAGCCGGCGAGTGCCCTAATATCCTTCAATGCAACTATGCAAGTCATTTCCTTCGTGTTGGTTCCCTCAACGGTCTCGTTCGTTACTTCTAAATCCAAATTATAATGAAATCCAGACTTGGCCCTTGTACGTCTATGAAGTTGGTTGTGTGAGGGAGGCAGTATAGAGTCAACCTAGTGCCACTCGGTTCAATTGCCTCAACTCTAGTCCCGTTTTACCTTTTTCGTCTGTCCCGTTAAGTTTGTCTAATACCATATTTGGTAATATTTGAGTGACACACAATTCAACTTTTTCTTAAAAATCACAACATACCTCTTTGTCCCAAACTTAGGGGGACTGTGGTAATATTTTTCAATCTGGGACCCTAAACTAAATGGGGCGGAGCTTGAGCATAATACTCCCTCCGTTTCTGTTTGTTTGACACACTTTCCTTTTTGGATGTTTCAAAATGAATGCCACACTTCTTTATTCTCTTATTTGGTAAACAAATCTTTACCAAAACAGTGCAAAATAGTGCCAAACAGTGTTCAAAAAGTGCCAAGCAGTGTTCAAACAGTGCGAACAGTGTTCTTTACAGTAAAATTTACCCCTCAATAACATTTTTTCCTTAATCCTTGACAAGTCAAACTATGTCAAACAAATAGAAACAAAGGTAATAGAATCTTAATCAACTTGTATATCCCCTTTAAAAAGTTATGAGTGCACCACAATGCACTATTATTACTTTTTTATGTCACATACTAGTTAAAGTTGAATAAAGGTCATAAGACTGATGGAGTAGGTTTGATAGAAATGCTTATCTGGAGGCCATATAAGAAAAGTGAGTTTATGTGGTTGACATTGAATTGATAAAATAAGAATAAGGTAATAATGATTTAAAATCACATTATACGATCTTAGTTTAACAAGTTGAAAACGAAAGATGAAACAATCTTAGTAGGATGGAAGAGTAATATTTAGTGAGTAATTCCTAGAATAGTTATAACCATTCTTAATATGGTCAACTTTTATTTCATAACATGCACATTTTTGATTTTTTATCCGTTAATTTTGTCATTGTGTTTTTTCATTGTCTTCATTAGGTCGACACAAAAAAACTAATGTCCAATATTTGAGATTGTTTCTAATGAATATTATTGGAATTGAATATTCATTCTATCATCATGAATATATGACCTTGGACAATACTAACAATACTTATGTGATTACGTTCGGAAATGGTTATTTTATATGAGCTTGCGCTTTATTTCAATTTCATAGTCTCTCTGTCGGAAATGTTTGCTCCTTTTATTATTTAGCTGCACATAATTAGTAGTTGAAGTGTGTTACGACAATTGACAAACACAATTACAAATAAGTGAAACGCCATAAAGCTAGCAAGTTGTACACAACTTGCACACAAAATGTCGGTCACAGACAATTGGTACGGAATTGTCTGTGATCACAGACAAGATTTGTCTGTGTTCACGGACAAGAGTTGTATGTGGTCACAGATAAGAGTTGTCTGTATACACAGACAACTTTTGTCTGTATCCATATCCATTTACTTTTTTGTAAAAAGTAAATTGACAACCGTCTGACACTGACACCGGATTGCAAATCAATTAATATATGTGCAGTGCATGTGTGCACAGATAATATTTTCATGTTGCACAGACAATTATTTGTCTGTGTGCACAGACAATATTTATCACACAGACAATAGTTGTGCGTCTCACAGACAATAGTTGTCTGTGTGGTCAACTTTAGTTGTCGGTGTGATCAATTTCAATTGTCTGGGTGAACAAAAACGTCAATTGTCTATATATATATCCAAATGAATGATGTAGTTGTATGTGTGATAAACTTACATGTAATTTGAAAATAATAATAAAAATAGATGGAATAAGATGAATAAGCTGATTTTGTGCAAATAATGAAAAAAAAAATTGATATAAAAAGGTAGAGAAAAAGAGAATGAAGAAGGGATGAGGAAGATGAAGAAGGGAAACGGGTCTCTCATTTTTTTTGAGATATACGAATGTTGGGTAATAATAAAGACGAAAGAAAGAAGGGAGGGGGGAAGAGAGAACAGAGAGAAGGGGAAGAGGGAAATGAGAATTTTTTGAGGCCGTTTATATGGTGTACACTTTGTGTACACCATGTGTACACTTTGTGTACACCATGTGTACACTTAGCATTTTCCTAAAGCTAGAGCATGATGAATTAAGAAAACACTTTTGGAGAGAAGTTGGTCACATTCATAATTTTCCAGAACTAAAATACGGAGTAGTAATCTATCATCTAATGACACTTGAAAAAGTATATATAGATAAATATGTACTCTGATCATACAATGAACAATAAGGACTCTAACTGTAAAGGCTATTTGGGGTGAAATTCTACCTATACTAGACAGAATATTGTACTCACTACCTGCCTGGATTCTTTTTTCTGGTTTTTGTTTTGGGGAAAGAATAGAAAGAAAGAAAACGAAATAATCGGAATCTATGTTTCTTTGACATCTATAATCGGCGCATAATGGAGGAGAATCATACGGTAACACGTACTAGAAGATTGCGATTATGCGATTCTGTCTCCGTCTCTCACTCTACTCTGTAACGGCCAAAAAAACTACAACAAGAAAGTGCAGGAGAAGTGAGTGAGAAGAAAAGCATCCTTTTCTTTCACCGCTGCACTTTTAGGCTGCCAGTCAACCACCGCCGGCGGCCGTCGTTGCCGCTTTGTTCGCCAGCCACGGGAATTGCATGCCGGTGGCAGGTAGATTAGCAGGGAAGCAATCTCCGGCGAGATCTTCCAGTCCCTCGAAGAAGTCGTCCTCTGGGGCCTCCTCCACCCTGTCCGGTGCCATATTGGACACGCCATATTCATCCTCTTCCTCCTCGCAGATATCATCGTCCCTGCTGCTTTCTTGCTTTTCCGGCGCCGGAGAAGACGCCGGCGATGTATTCGCTGGATTGCGGCCATCGCCGGAGGTTTCCGCTTGATAAGGCGTCGGGGGCTTCTGGCGGGTGCTCCCTGCGAGCGAGTTCCGGTGGGTAGGCATGGCGTGGTTGTGCTCTGCTGTGTAGGTCACGATAAACATATTCGGGTCGGATCTATTCCGCTCCACTTGCTTTCGGGCCAAACACCCCTTTGATGTGCTACATCTGTAATAGCCCCTGTGTAAAATCAAATCAAATCAAATAAAAAAAGCAGAAGAAACTCAGATCACTCCAAACTGTTTTCCTACATTATTATTTCTAATTTTACCCAAATTGACCTTTTCTGTACCTTGGGTATGGGGAGCCTTTGATGGGTTTTTGCCCATATTTTCTCCAAGACCACACATCAGAAGATAAACCCTCCGCTGGTACTTGGCAAACCCTCTTTAGCTGGTTCTTTCTAATAAAACCCAAAAAAAATCAAAGCACATCATCTATCAACAAAGGAATCAATCAGAGGAATTACTGTGATTTTTTTTACCGGAATAGAAAAAAAATTCTTCTAGTTCATCAAGTACCTTCTTTTGCCTTTTGGGCATGGAACATGAGCAGAAGAAGATATGGGTGTAGAAGCAATATTTAGAGGGAAAGATGGCTTCTTTGGGAGAATAATCGGAGCAGAGGAAGAAGAGATATGGGAGTTGAGGATTTGGTGGGTGGGCGATAGATCTTGCAATCCTCCAAGAACAGAGAGGGGAGAGATTGGGGTGGGCTGTGAAGGGGAGAAAGCCAGCTGCTTTTGCTGAAAACATGCCTGAGGAGGAAGCGGCGGCGGTGGCGGTGGCGGAAAAAAAGGTTTATAGAGATCATGCAACTCTTCGTTGAAACACCACCTACTGGTGCAGATGCTCTCATTTATTGATGATGATGAGGATGCCCCAAATTCGAACAGATCTTGTACGCGAAGCAAGTCTTGGTCTTGCCTTGGTTGGAAGCTACACAAGGAGGTTGTGCTAGCGGCGGCGGTGGCGGTGGCGGCGGAGGAAACCGGAGAAGAAGAGGAAGCGGTGGAGGCAGCGCAGCCTCTGACCACCGCATATAGATCCCAATCGTCTTCCATTACTTCCCAATCCCAGCTCTGATGCCCCTTGACTTTTTTTAGAGAGAGAGTATGGGAAAAAAGAGACAAAAGAAGGCGCTGACTTTTGAATGTGAAGAGAGAGAGAGAGTGGGTGAGGGGAAATCAGAAATGAAATAAGGAAAATAGGTGGGAATACAAGTGAGTAAGCACAATATAGAGAGAGAGACAGATTTGGGTGGTTTTCACTAGAGAGAGAGAGAGAGAACGAAGCGATTGGAATATTTGTGTCTGCCTGTCCCTGTGGCTAATGCGGCTGACCGGAATTAAGTCAATTAACTCCCACTCGATACCATAGCCCTCCTTCTCTACCTACTCTCTCGTCTCACTCAACTTTGTCTAGTTAACGTTAGGTGTGATTGAGATTTGTGCAGAGGTGAGAGAAATGAACATGATCACAAAAACATTGCTTTAAAAAGAAAGTGACAAAGTTTTTTGGAACAGAAAAAAAGGAAAGTTGACAAAGTCAAGTGGGACGTAGTTATTATGAGTAGAACAATGTAGTTATTATGTACTCCCTTTGTCCCTTATAACTTTATCAAGTTTGATCGGCTCGGAGACTAATAAAGTAAAAACTGTGTGGTTGAGGATTGTGCAGAGTAGAGAGAATTAACCGGAACCACAAATTCTTTACTTAAAATGGAAAGTGACAAAGCTTGTGGGACATCCAAAAAAGGAAAGTTGACAAAGTTTTAAAGGATGGAGGGAGTAACACATTAATTAAAGTGAATGATAAGATTGTTCCAAAAGGTGGAATCTCCCACCCCCACCACACCCCGACCCGACAATTTTTTTGAGAAAATGTAAGTTAGTCGGCTCAATGATGGTAAGCCTTTTATCCGTGCGCACCAGAGGTCCAGTCCAACACGCAGGAACTGTAACCTTCACACGACCGCTGCAGGTTTCGAACCTTGATCATTGTTCCAAATTTCCCACCACTGAACCAAGTCAACCAACTGAGCTACTCGTGCGGGTAAGTGAACGATAAGATCATCATATAAAAGGGTGTCCATTTTATAAACTTGATGAATCCTCTTAGGAGCGGAGTGAATGGTAAGTTTTTTTGAAAAACTTTTACACGGAATTTTATATCTTAAAAATATAGACATTTTTTAAACTTGGGCCAGCCGGGGTCAGGGTTGACCCCTCCCTAGCTACGCCCCTGAATCCTGATCATCCACATTTCCATATGTAGATAGGTTTGTTATGAAAAATCTTTGTTATTTTATTAATAATTTTTTTAAAATTAAAATTTCAGTAATTTGAACAAATTCAATTCATTCTAGTGTTATCAATCTGTTTTTTAAATGTACATATGTTACCAAATTATATCCCAGAATGCCTTCACCTAGAGCAGAATACCATTGTTAGTCTTGGGTTTGGGTTGAAACTACATGTTTTAATTGAATGTTACTGAAAATTATATACTAGTATGACTAAATCTAAAAATACAACATACAAGTTGGCATTGGTGTTCTAAAACTCTCACATGGACTATACCTACAGTGTTGTCAGGGTGAATACATATTAGATCGAAATTTAAAAATTGTGCTTTCCTAATTCAATATAAGTGAAGTGTTTGATTAGATCAGTGGCCTGGCCACCTTGTGTCCAACAGTGTCCCGGGACCCCAGTGATTTAAAAAAAAAACTACTTACTCCGTACTGTTTGAAGGATTCTCATGGTAAAACAACACGGTTATTTAGACAATAATTAAGGTAGTTCAAATATATTTTGAAAAATAATTTTAATAAGTATATAATATAATGAGGTTAGTGTTGATGATTGTGATGTTATAATTGCATTGTTTTAATATTTAATGATTAATTTATAATTTAAAATTGTTAATTGTTTCCTAAAATGAAAATGAGAACTTTTATATGAGCAGTTTAAAAAAGAAAGTGAGAACATTTCTATGGGACGAAGGGAGCATATGTTTATAATAGACCTGTACAAAAACGGGTTCGGGCCGGGCTCGGTCCGGGCTTTTTATAATTTTTCTGCCCATCATGTGTGGGCGGGCCCGGCCCGCAAAAACGGGCCTAACCCTATGTCCATACCCGCCCATAAGAGCGGGCCGGGTAGTCCACCAGGTCGCCCGGCCCGGAAATACTTTAATTTTTTCAAAATTATATGATTTTTTAAATACTTTAAAAATAATATTACAACATTCAGAAAATAATTAATACGCTTATAATGTTTATACGCCTTTCACCACATACTAAAAAAATATTTACACAAAAATAATAATGAGAAACTATATCTAAAATTTAAAATTTAAGCACAAAGTATTATCTTTAAGTACAAAAATAGATATTATATTGGTTGGGCTAGTTGTTAAGAACTAAAAATATAAATTTAAACGTAATAAACTATAAATATGTATAAAGAAAAATTAGTAAATATAAATATACATGTGTATATGCAAATAAATAAATAAATAAATTAGTATATATATAAATATATATATTTATATATACTAAATGTAGCGGGCCGGGCTTATCGGCCCGAACGGGCCTACACCCTAACCCAAACCCGCCCATATCTTATTGCGGGCTGGGCTCGGGCCAGCCCGGTGGGTAAATATATATGCCCAAGCCCGCCCATTTGTGCGGGCGGGCTGGGCGGGCCGGGCGGGTCGGCCCGATTTTGTCCAGGTGTAGTTTATAAACATTTTATATAAAACTTACTCAAAAAATGTACTCCATCCGTCCCTAATAATTTTGCCAAGTTTGACCGACACAGAGATTAATAAAGTAAAAGTTGTGTGGTTGAGGTTTGTGCAGAGGAGAGAGAATTAACTGAAACCACAAATTCTTTACTTAAAAGGGAAAGTGGCAAAGTTAATGAGACATCCTAAAAAGGAAAGTTGGCAAAGTTATAAGGGACGAAGGGAGTATATATAAAAAATGATACCCCGTATTACAAAACCTAAAGAATGGATTGGAGGAGTGATAGTTTGTGCGGGTTTAAAACTTCCGTGTTTGCGAAGATACAACGGTTGAAACCCTCAAACAATTGTATTTCTTTTACTACCTCCGTCCCTAAATTTACTTTCGTAGTACAAATGACACACATATTAAGAAAGTGGGTTTTGTGTGGTGGAGAGTTGTGCAGAGAAAAGAGAAATGTGTAAGAATTGATGTGAACCACAAATTCTTTGTCAAAAAGGGAAAGTGAAGTTCTTTTTAGGACAGACGAAAAAGGAAAGTTGGAAATATTTTCACGTACGAGGTAGTATTAACTTCACTCTTCCAAAAGATCAAAACTACGTCCATTCGACATCTTCTTTTTCACTAAAACTCTAAACCCCAGTCTGAGGCAATCACATATGTGACCTTAAACTCCAAACCGCAGTCGGCAACTCCTTGGCTCCTCCAGACCTCCCAACTCCACAACTTCTGACCCGGCAGGCGCGACCTGTAATAGAGCTTCACAAATTTTATAATAACTCTAATGGAGATCCGACTCTGGGGTAGGCGGAAATCCGGAGAGGAGAAACTGAAAAGTGCTAAGTGTAGATTCAATAGAAAATTTGTCAGAGTAACTGTAAGCTAGACCACAATAATGGTGATCTCTTTTGACAAGTTGAAAAGTGATATTTACATTGTAAAGGAAATACTTGGGCACCAAATAAAAAATGTTATTCTAATAATACAATGACGCGTGTAAAGCTTGATTGGTAAGAGAATGTGGACAACAAGTTGATTGGTACCATGCCTGACTAATTTGATTCCCTTTATACTGGAACGCACATGCAAGCCACACGTGTAAGCTCTGGATTGATCCTTCTGTGAATAACCACCTGGGTGACGTAAGACCTAGACAGTTCTCATGTTGATGATGTAGTCATAGCTATGCGTGGAACTTGAGTACTGAAAATAGCGAAGTCCATAATCTTCCCCGAGGCCAGAGGCTCTGTGGAGTTGGGCTCGGGGGAAATGTAACAACAAACGAGGAGGATGACCTCAACTTGCTTAATTAATGTTTCTTTTAGTTCTTGAGTTAATTCCCTAAATAGGACTAAAACTATGAAAAAATGCACATATAGGACTTCCATGTTTCATAGGACTAAAAATGCATGCATTTGACAAAATTACCCTCAATGAAATTCTAATCTATTTACAATTACAAATAAAAAAATTAAACCCTAGTTTAATTTGCCGCTTCCAGCGCACTCGCAATTTAATTTGCTGCCACTATCCATGTCGCTACCGCTCTAGCCACTGCTGCAGCTCCAACCTGTCACTCCAGCCGCCGCCACTACTGGTTCTGTGCCGCCGCCGCTTCAAGGACCACCAGGCGATGGCTGCCAGTTTTGAAAACCAAAAACTGTCATCTTGCTGCACCAAAAATCCGTTTTTCACATAATAAAAGAAAATATAATAATGACAGTTTTTTTCTTTAAATTTGGCGGTTTGGCAAAGGTAATAAGAAATTTTTTGCCATAATATATAAGTCAATTCTCCTATAAGATTGGCAATACATTCAAATTAATGTTCAAATAAAAAAAATGCCACAATATAAAACTTGTCAAAATGTACAACTAGTATTTAAAATCGGAATTTTTTTTTTAACTGAAATCGTAAATTCTTCCAAAAAATAATAAAATCAATAAGAAATCTGTTATATAAAGGAAAGATTAGAGGTGCACAAAGAAGAATAAGAACTAAAAGAATAAAAGAATAAGAATGAGGAGAAGAAGAAGAGGAAAAGAAGAAGAAGAACGAAAGAAGGAGAAGTGGAAGAAGAAACCTGGAACCATGGAATCAGGGGCAGCGCCTAAGGGGTGTAGCGGCGAGAGGAGAGGCACACTCCATGGCACCGGCAGTCCTTGTCCTCGGCAAAGAAAAATCGAAGAGTTGCGATGCACATAGAGGAGAGCCGCAGGTCTGATGAGGCGCAACCCTAAGGAGATAATTAGAAAACTAGAGTTTTGATGTTATTATATATGAGGGCATAATGGTAATCCGGAGTCCTATTTAGGGAATTAAAAACTTATAGTCCTTATTAGGGAATTAAGTTTAGTTTAAGTCCTATATAGGACAATTACTATTAGTTCTTTGACTTCGTGGGGAGTTAGTTGATTTCAAGATCGGTCATAGTGTGGAC